AGAAAATAATGAAAGAGGAGATATTTCTTTGGTTAAATACCAAAGATGCCGATTAAATGTTTCCAGGGCAGCAACAGCAACATCATTGTAAGTTTTTTTATAAATAAGAATTTCTTTGTAGAATTTAAAGTCATTAAATAGGGCATCGACTTTGCATCTTGAATGATGAAAGGCTCCAAGTTTGTGCCACTGTATATTTCTTTGTTTTGGATTGAGTAATTGCAAAGCAAGTTGACAACATTTTCGATAATCATCTCTTAACATTTTTCGAGATTTCCGGTTAAGTAAACCAGACAAAAAATTATTACTTCTTTTGGGACACCCTAATATATATATATATATATATATATATATATATATATATATATAAATATATATATATATATATATATATATATATATATATATATATATATATATATATATATATATATATATATATATATATATATATATATATATATATATATATATATATATATATATATATATATATATATATATGTATATATATATATATATATATATATATATATATATATATATATATAATATATATATATATATATGTATATATATATATATATATATATATATATATATATTATATATATATATATATATATATATATATATATATATATATATATATCTTACCTCGAACATATTAAACTTTATTTTGTTTGCGGATGACTCCAATCTGTTTTATTCTCATAGGGATTTTAAAACCCTCTTTAAAGTAGTTAATGAAGAAGTAAATAAAGTAAACGAATAGTTTATTTGTAATAAACTTTCACTTAATGTTAACAAAATTTAAGTTTATTCTATTTCACAAACCAACCAAAACAGGAAACCTTCCTTTAAACTTACCCAATCTTAAAATCAATAATATAAATATTACTAGGCAAACAACTGTAAAATTTTTAGGTATTATTTTAGACGAAAATTTAACATGGAGGAAACATATAAGCACTCTTGAAAGAAAACTTTCAACAAACATTGCAATGATGTATAAAGCAAAACCATTTTTGGATATAAGATCTCTAAAAAGTTTATATTTTTCCTTTATACATAGCTATCTAACTTATGGCAATATCGTAAGGGCAGGCAGCAATAACGCAAAGTTAAAGAAAATTTATACTAAACAAAAACATGCATGTAGAATTGTATTTGGATTTCCTCAAGGCTCAATCTTAGGACCGTTACTGTTTTTTCTTTATATAAATGATCTATCTCTTACCTCGAACATATTAAACTTTATTTTGTTTGCGGATGACTCCAATCTGTTTTATTCTGAATAGAAATGTGAAGAAAAAAAGAACTGTGCCTTGTGAGTAAACTCAATGCATTAAATGTGTTTAAAATTAACATATTCCTCGTCATACAGTTCATGTATTAAATAAAACATGAACTGTCTCCAGCGATATTCTATCCTTATTTTAGAGAAGTAAGCCATAAATACCCCACCAAGTTCTCAGAAAGAAACTTTGTAACTCAAAAGTATAATCTAAAGTTATGTTCTTATTCTATTCAGTACCTGGGTCCATTTTTGTGGAAAAACTTTAAACATATTGTTAATATTAAAGAAAAAACATTTCCGCAATTCAAATCTAAATTAAGACGTTATTTAGTACTTACGGATTTTAATATAGCAGATCTTCTCTGTCACTTTTAAAATTTTAAAATTTATTAAACTAAACTAGCACCATAAATTTAAAAATCTAGACCATTTAACAATACTAAGAATTTCAATGTCTTTATCATACTTTCATTGAAAATAAATATTCTCTTAAAGTTACCTACAGTTTTCTTGATATATTTCATGATATTGGAACATAATTTTTATTTGAATTTTGAATTATTTTGAAAGAAAATAATGTATAAAAATATATATATCGAATCACATCCAGTTTATAACCAAAAACAGATAATTTTTGTCACTTTTATTACTTTATTTTAATCATTTCTTTTTCTTTTTTTTTTCAATTATTTTAATACTTGTTTTTTTTTTTTAGCTTCAAATTATTTTTTTCAGGTCTTCACTATAACCCTTTTTAAATTTAATCTCATTATAAGTTTCATTGTGGTTTTTATTTTTATTATTCTTTATCTGGATTTTAGTTAATGCAATTAAAAAAATCATAACTTTTTTTCATCATGGAGGTAGTGAGATGTAAAATATTTTTTCAGATGCCAAGAAAGTACAAACGAGTGACAAATCAGTTAAAGTTGGATACTCGTACAATAAAAGTCACTCTGATGGTTGTCGAATCTATCACTCTGATGGTTGTCGGAGCTTATCACTCGATGGTTATCGGAGCTTATCACTCGATGGTTGTCGTAGCTTACCACTCGATGGTTGTCGGAGCTTATCACTCGATAGTTGTCGGAGCTTATCGCTACGAGCAGCTGCACAAGAGTATAAAATTTCAAAATCAAGTTGGCAACGGAAATTAAGCATCAAGTTTTTATGTTTAAAGAAACTTTTCTCTTTTTTTTATATAATTTTTAAAAATTTTTAATTAATTGTGAATCTAAAGAACACCATTTTTGAGTCTTGAATTCCGCTCAACAGTGCTAACTTATTTTTAGTTGAAAATTTTTGAAAAAGCGCCTTAATCTACTATAGATCCAAGCTCTAATCTGTTCTAGCACATAATAATTTAATATAAATGTCAAAACACGACATTTCTATCAATTTTCACAAAAAATATTAGAATTTCGACCAAGAAAGCACTTATAATTAAGAAAAATCGTCCTCATGGTCACAGAGCACCGCAGATGAGCATTTAATAGGAAGTTCACGCCTCCTTCCTAACCAATATCGCAAAACTTACCTAGAGGTGGCGTTTAAACCGCAGATCTTTTGATTCTGAGGCAAGTGCGCTACCACTGCGCCACGGCTGCTTTGATCACACTATTAAACTCATCATTAAACAGATCATATTATTTAACTATAAAGTTTTATTTTATGATCATGTTATTAAACTATGATGTTCATATTAAACAGATTATTATTATTTTTTCATATATATATATATATATATATATATATATATATATATATATATATATATATATATATATATATATATATATATATATTATATATATATGTATATATATATATATGTATATATATATATATATATATATATATATATATATATATATATATATATATATATATATATATGTATATATATATATATATATATATATATATACATATATATATATATATATATATATATATATATATATATATATATATATATATATACATATATATATATATATATATATATATATATATATATATATATATATATATATATATATACATATATATATATATATATATATATATATATATATATATATATATGTATATATATATATATATATATATATATATATATATATATATATATATATATATATATATATATATATATGCCGTGAGTAAAATAACAAAAAGAAATTACAATTAAATAAAAACCTGGCAGGAGCAAGAAGAAGACAAATTGTCTTATCACCGAGTCCCCGATACAATGATGTTTTGTAAACGTTTTAAATATTTAAATGCGAAATTAATAGTCAATAAAATAGTATATACTCAAAAAAATGTTCAAAAAAACTTTCAAAATGAAAAATATAAATTTTTAACAACAATATTTCAACGGAATAATTGAAGTAATAAAATGAAGCAAAAGATAGATAACCAAGAAGTTATCAATCCACAAAAATTGCGTTGTGTTTTATTATAAATAATGAAATATTACTAAATATTTATTACTAATTATTTAATATCAACAAAAACACAAAAGAAAAAAACAAAATTAAAAAGTTAAAAAAAATGTAGTAAAAAAGTTAAAGAAATGTAGTAAAAGAGTTAGAGAAATGTAGTACAGATTTAAAATAATTTTTTGATACAAACAATTAAATTATTTTTAAAATATGTATTTGAAATCTAATTTATCAAAGTCCATATTTAGTAAATGCCGTTTTGAAACAGCCTTTTGTTATTAAACTATGACTAACTATCACCTAAAAAGCGTATTTATTTCAAATCTTTTTCAAATCTGAACAAACGATCGTGATTTTTAAAAGATTTTTTTTTTTAAAAAGAATCTTCTTTACAAACATTTTTATTTTATGTTACGGCAAACTTCATCATTTAAAATTTTTTCGTCTTTTCATGATTCACAGACCTGGTCATTTAACGGAAATATGTTAAAACCAGCAAAATATTATACAGACGCTTTTAAAAATAATTATTAAAAATCGCCTTAACTGCACCGAGTAGCAATTTTAGTAACGTATTTTACTTAAAACGGCTACGACAACGACGAAATTAAAAAATAGCTTTAACGTTTTCGTTGCAGTTGGCGTAAGTCGCTACTTACAGTACTATAATTATTTAATTACCAATAGCAATCGTTTACTTATTTGTCCTCTTTTTCAGCAAAAAAATATTAAATTCAATAGCTCAAAACTTTCGTGTTTTTCTTTATTTTTTTTGTCCCTTTTTATTTCCCATCCCCTTCCATGAGAAAAAATTCGTGACCCCTTCACCTTCGGTGCGATGGACCGTTTTAATAACCCGACAGATGACCCGGGATACTCGAACCTAGAAAATTTTACAACGCTGTTACTTAAATTTCACTAAACAATTTCAAATACTATTAAAAAGAATATATAAAAATATAGAAATATATATTAAAAAAATTATATTTATATAAAAGTATATAGTCAATAAAAAATAGATAATCGGTAATACACATTTTCTACAAACAAATTTTGTATAAACAAAGTTTATTTTGTAAACAATATTATTTATATGATACTAGTTTATAAATGAAATCCATAAAAATTGCTATATAAGTACATATTTATCATGTATAATTTGTTAGTATAAAATTGAAAATTTCATGATGATATAATAAGCTGTAATTTTAGCTTATTAACTATGCATTTTGATAACTACATATAAAGAAATACAAATAGTCACATAATTTTTAAACTTTAGAGAATGGAAACTGAAAGAAATTCACCAAATATACTGATAACAGGAACACCAGGAACTGGTAAATCAACGCTAGCAATGGAACTCTCTCAACAAACCGGTTTTGAGTTTGTTAATATAAACGAACTTGCAAAGCAGGAAGACTTGTATGATGGTTATGATGTAAGATTAGATTGTAAAATACTAGATGAAGATCGGGTGATAGATGAACTAGAAAGTAAGATGTCAGAAGGTAAAGTAATAGTGGAGTATCATGGGTGTGATTTTTTCCCTGAACGCTGGTTTGATATAGTTTTTGTTCTTCGTACAGACACAAATATCTTATATAAGAGACTTGAAAACCGTAATTATACTCTAGAGAAAATTAAAGAGAATGTGCAGTGTGAAATTTTTCAAACACTGCTTGAGGAAGCCTTAGAAAGCTACAATAAAAATATTGTTTATGAACTACAGAGCAATTCAACAGAAGATATGGAGAGAAATATTGAGCAAATTATGCTGTGGATAAATAATTGGAAAAAATAAAATACATTGTAATTAAAAAATACTTTACAAATATATTTTATTTATAAATCAAATGAGTTTTTATCTTTGTTAAATTGTGTGATAATAATTTTAAAACATTAGCTGTATTAATCTTTATCGTCATTAATATATTTACCATAAAACTAAACCAAAAATGAATAAATATAAAAATAATTTTCAAAGTTTTTATCTAATAATGCAAATAATAGTTATTGTTCAGATAATTGATGATTATCAAAGTTGTTATTTGAAAAATTTTACTCAAAAAAAAATGTAGCGGCACTCACTTGCATGTAGTACCTAGATAGTCAGTTAATGTATGTACTGAAGCCCCAGCAGGTACTATTTTAGTATAATGTCCTCAGTGTACATCAATGCAATATATATATATATATATATATATATATATATATATATATATATATATATATATATATATATATATAATATATATATTAGTATAAATACCTTCTTCATTCATCTAATAAAAAAAATACTTTTTGAAATTATAGTATTTTGTAGTAGTTGTACTTGCAGTAATATACTTTTTTTTCTGTTATAAATTTTTTTTGGAACAATTATTTAAAAAATAACTTTTTAAAATTATATTTACTTAGTTTCATTATACTTTAATTTATTAAGTTAATTTTTTATTTGAATCTTTTCTAATTTGAACTTATGTTTGTTTAAGCAAGTCTTACACAAATGTTTAATTATATATATATATATATATATATATATATATATATATATATATATATATATATATATATATATATATATATATATATATATATATATATTATATTATATATATATATATATATATATATATATATATATATATATATATATATATATATATATATATATATATATATATATATATATATATATATTAGTTTTTGAATTAGAAATTTAAATTGCAATTTTAGGCAATAATCTCAAATAATTACATAAAATTTTGAAAAATGTCGGAACGAAAAGTCTTAAATGTAAGTATTATCCTGATTTTGACAATTCTTTTTAATCAATAGTTCATTTATTTTTTTCCTTGTGGAAAATACTTTTTGTGACACATTATCTAAAACTTCTCTAAATCCTCAAGATTCCTTATTATACCATTATTTATTATATCTTAAAATGATGCCAGAAAAGTGTGTGACATTTATAAATTTGTAATTAGATTTTTTAAATCCATTTAGTTTTTAAATTCCTGTCTTTAGAATCTTGGTTGAGTAAAGACTAGAGTTGGTGTTTTGATAAAAATATTCATCCTGGGCAGATGGTAAATACATCCAGCTACTGTCTTGTAGAAGGCTTCCTAGACAAAGACTTAATAAACAGATTCTATCTGTTAACTAGCTTTGCATCCCTTTTTTATTTATTAGGCTGACGTAGATGTATTTGTAATACATTATTTCCGGTTTAGGATGTTGAATGCTGGATCTTTTTGACTCATTGCATAGGTTTTGCTTTTGTCTCTGTTTTTTTCTCTGTTGACTAGGCAACTTATTCTATTATTTTCTAATGAGGGTATAGCTCTAAAAATCAGTTTTATAGTTCTAAGGTTGGCTGTTAGTCAGATTTCCCGAACTCAGATTGCTCTCAGAGAAGCTGATTCTATCAACAGATGTAAAATATCAAAGTTCTAACTGTTCGAACTTTCAGTGTGCAAATTTTTGGTATGCAATTTTTGGTGTTGTCATGGCCATATTTGGATTATCTAATAGTCCAAGCAAGGCAGTTGCTTGGACTATTAGATAATGTACAGTGTACTATCTGCGCTTTGAGTCAGGTTCTTTAACCAATTTTATTCTCCAGCTAAAGTCGTTGTTATTGGTGACTTTAATGCACTTAGTAACTTTAAACACACTGAATGGCTTGGCTCCAGTATCAGTGACTTTGTAGGTGTTAAGGACCACAACTTTTGCCTTTCTTATTCTTTAACACAAATAGTCAACTTTTCAACTTGCTTTCCACACATACAAATCATTTACTTTCTCTACTCGAATTGTGTATTATTTTTGATTCTAGTCAGTACTATTATTTCAATCTTCTTCATAATCAGTCCCCTTATCATTGTATTTCTTGCAACTACCTAAAAGCTGACTTGGACTCTTTCCATGATTTTTCCACAATGGCCCTTGGGTAGAAGTCTTTTGTCTTCCTGATGACAGATGTGCTTTTTATGTTTCTTCTTGGGTTCAGGCTGGAATTTTTTATTCCCTCTTGATGATTCCAAGTCAAACTTCATCTTTCTCCATGGTTTTTCTCTTATTATGCTGTTGAAATTTTCAATCATAACCATCCATATCTATTACTAAAACAGTTCTCCAGATAAGGGGCATTTGTTTACTATTGCTAGAAACCATTGTAAAAAGATTTTGTTTTATGCCATAGCCTGCTATTCTCTGGTTACAAAATCTCATGTTTAATCATTAGGCTCCAGAGACTTTTGGAAATTTTTTAACAGTGTCTATAATAAGGGCAATTCTGATATTCCTCCTCTCTTGCATGGTTCATATTTCGTTACCTCACCTATATTCAAAGCTGAGTTGTTTGCTAAGAACTTTTTTTCAATCTCATATTTTGATTCCACTAATCACACCCTGCCTGATATTGTTGATAAACAAGTAGATCCTTTGCTTGACATTCGTAACACTCCAGCTTCTGTATCTAAATTGATTTCCTGCCTTGACTCTTTTACAGCTTGTGGTCCAGACAACCTATCTGTTACAGTCTTGCAAAAGAGTTCTCCAGAATTGTTGACGAGTTCAGAACTTTTTAACAAGTGTTTATCCGAGTCTTGTATTCTAGACTGCTGGAAAGTGGCAACTGTTATCCTTTTTTTCAAAAATTCTGAAAAGCGATCTGACTTGTTAACTACTGTCCCATTAGCCTTCTTCCTATCTAATAAATTTCTTTCTGATCATCAATATGGATTTTGATTTTCTCATTCTACTACTTATAGTTAACGGTAATAACTGATAGGTTTTATTGTGCATTAGATGTGTAGAAGTTTTTCATATCCTGTAACTTCAGGGGTTTCTCAAGGCTCTTTCTTTAGTACTATACTTTTTTTAGTTTACATCTCCCTAAAAAAGGTGGTATTGCTAACTGATGATACTACCATTGATTCTTGTCTTGATAAGGAGCCAATACTCCCTGAGTGCTAGGAAGGGGGATTTTAACTTGAAAAGGATCTCACTTCTGCTACATCACGGTGTCCTCAGTGGCTGGTGAACTTTACCTCAGATAAAACTCAATTTTTTAAACTGATTGTTTTTGTATCAATCTAGATCTTTCTATATTTATAAATGGTAATGTACTTGATGAGTCATATACCCTTCGTCTTCTAGGATTAACTCTTACTTCTGATCTTTCTTGGAAATTATGTATCAAATCTATTGCAAAATTAACATTTGCTAAAGTTGTATCTCTTTCTCATGCTCACCACTTTCTTACTCTTGGTTCTATTTTTTATCTCTATAAATCTTTAATCTGTCCTTGTATGGAATACTGTTGCTATATCTGGAGCGGATCTTTGAATAATGCCCTTTCTTTTTTAAACATGGTGCAAAAACACATTGTAAACATAGTTGGACTTGCTCTTGCTGCCAACCTTCAACCAGATTTTAGGCCAGTTTTTGAAGCTGTTGTATTAAACTTTTGACCAACTATTTTGTCTTTAAGATGCAAATTATCCAATAGTTCAAAGCAGGCACTAGCTTATTCCTCATCTGTTACTTGTTTGATTTTGGTAACCTGAAGCAACTTTTCTTTCCCAGCTCCAGAACTTGAATCGTAATTTTCTCTAACTTTACATTTGTCTGTACAATATCTGTTAGGAGTTTTCCATTTCAGTGCAACACTAGTGGTATCTGAATTTGAACTGAGAGTGAACAGTAGTGTTATCTGAGTTATATATGACTTATGGTTTTCAACTTCTTTAAACTTGTTTGTTGCCATTCTATAATGACAGGTAGTGATGTAAGAAAATAAAAGGCTGTCCAGATCATGTCCAAATAGCTTGAGCAGCTGCAGCAGTAATAAAAGTAGCTTGTTTGTAATTGATGTTAACCTGATCAAATGTGAGGTATAACTCAAGGAATAGAATCTTATTCCTTGCTCTTGTTGATACTGAATGAGATAGTCTTTTAGAAACACTGAAAAGTTGAATCTCAGTTTCAGAAGCTGAATAACTAGAAGATTGTTCTTATAGAAGAATTGAAGCAATCGCTACAAGTTTTTTCTTGCATTTTTAGCATCACTTTCTTATTGTTTTAAAGATCTTTCTGCTTGTTTCATTTTTCGATTTTTACTTATCTATACCTCCATACACAATGAGATCTCTCCATACTGGAACTGGAGAGATCTCACTGGGATACCAGAAAATCTTTGTCTTTCTCATAATTTGCAACGTATCTGATCTTGTAACATCAAATTAATTCATGTAAATCAATTTTTAAAACTTTCTCATTTATTCTGTACCCCTCAGAATTTTTGGTGCAACTTTTTTTATTGATTTGTAGATATTATATAACTTCAGTATTTTTGGGCAGCATATCTGACTGGCATAATCGCTTTTTCTAAGTAACCAATGGTGTATAGTAATGTTGGCACTTGAGTTTAATGATTTATTTTCTTTCTTATAATTACCATACACTGGCAGACCTTCTTGTTGTTGGAGCTTTAGCCATTGATACCTAAACAATAAAACAACAATTATTATTTATATTTATATTAAAGAAAACTACTGAATTGTAATAATATTATAGGCAATGACCTCAATTATAGTAAATTATAATTGACTCAATCGTTAATCATATTAACAATAATAGAGAATCATTCAGAAAATACCAACCTTTAAAAATGGCGGGAAGTGAAAGCAACAAAAAGTTGACTTAAAATAAAATAAAATTTAGTACGCAAAACAAGTCTGCAATAAAAATATCTTTCTTTTTATAGTCTCATTTTACAGATTACTATATTTAATTTATTATAAAATTAACTATTATTCTTACACACTTAAAGGTAAAAATATATAAAATAAAGCCACCAAACAAAAAACCAAAGTAACTTCAGATAAGTAAAACAAATTGATAAATACATTACAAAGGCAGTTATGACCCTTAATGATATTATTAAAAAAAATGGTCAAAGTAATTTAAACCAGTCTAGCATTTATTATGAGTTTTGAATTTATTGTAAATATTTTTAGAAATATTACCCACCAGACTTTGATCCTACAAAGTTACCGAAACTAAAGCAAGGACGAAATCGTCAGTTTGTCATTAGAATCATGGCTCCATTTAGCATGAGGTAAGGCTAATTAATAATTAGTATATATACAGTGATGTACATTTGCAATCACTGGATAGCAAATGCCAGCCAAATCTTTTGAATGGCTACTGGAAATATTATTTTGATGCAATTGAGTCACTCAATTTTTTTTTTTTTTTTTTTTCTATTATTTCAATAAGAAATTTTTTTTTTTACATCTAAAGTTAAGGTTTTTTGTTTTGTGTTCTAAAGAAGATGGCTTTTTCCAGTTATATTTTTTTGATGGCTTTTTAACTGTCTAGCATATTAAATCCAATAATATTTGGCAAGTCTCGGTGTTAAAGTTTGTTTTATGTTTTTTATATTATTAATTAGAAAAAAATTAAATTGTTCGAGCATTGAATTGTTTAAAAATTAAAATACTAATTTCTGTTTTATTATTTTACAAACTTTTTCTATGCATTTAGAAAAAAATAATATAAATAAATTTGAAAAAAAGAAATACTTTGGCGTTCATGGGTCATGGTGTTACATTTTCAGTGGTTGCATATAAATATTATAAATGATATAAAAAGAAATTTAAAATCATATATTTTTTGATTATATTTACGAAAACTTTAATATATAACATTAATAAAAGTAAAATGTTCAACCGTAAGTTAAAATTTACTTTAAAAGAACAAAATAATTTGAATTGAAAATTGTTTTGTTGCTCTTTCACTTTGAACTATTTATTTAAAAGTCATTAATAGTTAACAATTTTTTCAGTTAAAATTTATTTGAAAAGAACAAATTAATTTGAATTTTGTAAACTTGTTATGTCACTCTCTCACTTTGAGTTTTTTCAGCATTATTTATTTATAGTCATACTTCAATAGACTTAAAAAAAAGATTTAAATCAGAAATTTCATTATTTAATAAATTCAAATATTTAATTTACCTATATTTATATTTTTATATCATTAAGTACTGTTTAACGATATACAGTAAACAAGAAGTCTAATCATTTATTGAAATTTACCTCAAAGAACAAATTGATTTAAATTTTGGTGCCTATAATTTCGTGCTTTTTTTACGCAAACAGATTTTAATTAATTACTAAATTCTAATATTTAATTTACATATAGTATATACTATATATTATATAGTATAATCAAATTTTATCAAACCACATTAAAAATCATTGAAAGTCTAAATATCTTTAAGCTAAACAATATTAGTATAAAAAAATTATCAATGAAATTTATGTTGTTTGAAAAAAAAAAATTCTTTATTTTAAAAAACTTAAACTTCCTATTTATTTCTTAAAGCATTCGTAACACAACATATGTAACACAACATATGTAACACAACATATGTACACAGCAATGTTTAATTTTTTTTTACCACTTATAAACTAGTTAATCATTTCTAATCCATGTTTATTCTATGATCAATCTAAAAAATTAATGATAGTGAAAAAACTTTTGCTAAAAAGCAATTTCAAAACTAAAAGAAAATTATCTTTTTGTAAATTTGTTATATAAAATTTAAAAAATTATTTAGATTAATTTTTTTTTAAATTCATTTAAATAAATTTTTTATTTAAATGACTTTCCCCAAAATAATTTTGCCTAAATGCTTGATTATGGTTTATCTGGCAACGAATTTATATAAAGTTGTAAACATTAAGCTTTTTTCTATATTAGTACTTTTGTAATGGGATGAAAAAGTTTATTAATTTGAAACTATAAATAAATAAACCAAATAGTTAAATGTAAAATGAATATAAAAAAGTTAAATTAAATTTGATAAAAACAAATTTATCTTCATTAATATAGTTTGGAAGTTTTAAAAGTAATAAAAAAATTTGACAACTGAATATTTAAAATTTTTAAAAATGTTTAATTGTAAAAATTTTCCCTTAAATTAAATTTAATAAAATAAGTTTAAATTTAAATTATAATTTTTTTTAAAACAGAAAGTAGAAAAAATTTATTTAAATATCTATTTTTTTTATCAACAAAAGTAGTTATTGCACAGTTGTGGGATTTTTCTTACAAATTTTCTACAACAATTACTGCCTAATTTTTTCCGCATCAACTATTTGGAAAGACTGTTTAAATACTCTAATTGAAAAAAGTTTTGGCGTAACATAAATGCCTTAACGCTTTATTAAAATTGCTATTTCGTACATTAAATGCGAACAGCATAAAACTTCTTATCAAGGCCTGTAGCACTATATGCAAAAATAACTTAACTGTACAAGAGTTAGCAGAATGCAATATTTTTTTTAAAAAATGGTGATAGACAACTCAAAGCATTCGTGGGCAACTGACGTTAACTAAATTTTTACTCACAGACAACCAGCAAGCAAGCAACCGAAGTCTAGTTGTACACCACTGATTTTTAATCAATCAGTAGTCAAACTAACCCCAAATTTATTCAATTGAATAATTTTACATCATGTTTATTGTATAAATTGTAATTTTTGTTTATATATGTTTATGTTTCAAAAATTTTTAAAGTTTTCAACATTGAAAACTTTTAAAATTTTTATAGTCAAATTTCCTTTCATTTCAGTATTGACAAATATTTAAAAGCAAAACATTTTATTTATTGAAAAAAATGTAAATTTAGAATAACTTTATTGATTAACATTGCTTACATGGTGATTTGATACGATTGCATTATTAATTATGACCAAAGGAACAAAATTAACTGAATTTGAATGTGGTCAAATTATTGCATGCAAAGAGATAAATTGTTCAAGAGACATAAATACAAATTATTTAAATATTCGGGTGGCAATTATTAGACCTGGAACTTCACCCAGAGATCTTCAACAGAAGCTTCAATTACCTGTTGGCGTTCATAGAATTTGACCAATAGTAAAAGAATTTCTAAATTTAGTTTTTACTGAATGAGTAGGAGCACCTTAGTTAATGAAAAAACATATTGCCAAAAAAATTGCATGGCCACTATAAAAAAAGTCATGGGATGAATAATGGATTAATTTCATCTTTTCAGATGTAAAAAAGTTTAATTTGAATGGGCTCATTGACTTTTAGTATTATTGGCATGATCTCCATAAAGAAAAACAAGTTTTTTTCTTGAAGGCAATTAAGTGGAGGTTTAGTCATGATTTAAGAAGCTTTAAGTTCTTTAAAACCATTGGAGAATCATGGCTAGAGTTGTTTATGCCAATGGTAGACAATTTCAGTCAAAAGAAGATTCTTGAAATTTGGACACAAATATCTGAAGATTTATGTCAAAGTTAAAAGCGTGAAAATGTTATGTTAGTTAAAAGCGTGAAAATTCATTGCGAAGCTATGAATTTTCATGCTTTTAACTAACTGAATTTTTAATTAATTGAAAAAGTTGTTAACTTTTAACGACTTTAAAATATATAGTTTTAAGTTAAAGAGCAATGAAACAATTTTATATGATTCAAATAAACTTGTTCTTTTAAAGTAAATTTTAACTAACAATTTGAACATTTTACTTTTATTATTAAATGATTTATATTTTTGAAATTTTTATATAATTTCGCTTCATTTTAGACCCAATATGACATTCTTTTGAAAGACTTTTTTTTGATTATATTAGGGACCTGTTTGATGTTTAAGGGTCTTGTGGCACCCCTAAAAATATTTTTTATTCAAAATTTTTTCAAATCCAGTATTATTTTGTTATATAGAACACATTTAGAGGGTGTCTACAGACATTTTCAAAAAATGTTGTTTTTAGCACCACCCTAATATATATATATTATATATATATATATATATATATATATATATATATATATATATATATATATATATATATATATATATATATATATATATATATATATATATATATGTATATATATATGTATATATATATATATATATATATATATATATATATATATATATATATATATATATATATATATATCTATATATATATATATATATATATATTTATATATATATATATATATATATATATATATATATATATATATATTTATTTATCAGGCCTTGTTAAATAGCATTTTACATACGAAATGATGATTTGCGTTCGCGTTCAGCAGTTTCTCACTAAGCAAAAACTTTGAAAAATTTTTTTTTTTTCAAATTTCAAGTTAGTTTTGAAGGAATGTAAAATGGTTAGTAAAACATAGAATAGAAAATTTAGTTTTAAATGTAAAATAGTTTTGCAATATTTATCAATGAAGAATTTTTTTCTTATCATTTGCTAACTAGTTTATTATGTAAAACATAAATCTCTTTATCATAGATTAAAATGTGTGAAAGAAAATAAAAAATTTTATGTTTTCAAAAAAGAAGTGTTTTTGTTTAAGTGAATTTTTTGCACAAATATATTTAAAAATTTTTGTTTCATATTAATTCAATATCCTGTAAAGTTCTTTTGACATTTTTTTTAAAGTTCTTTTGACAATTTATTTACATAACAACATAAATTTTGTTTACCTTATTGGTAAATAAAATCTATTTATAAAGTATTTATAATCTTTATTAAAAATATTACATTAAGTACATTGAAAATAAAATAGAATAAAAAAGATGTGATAAAGAAACAAAAGATTAGGTTTAGAATATTGTTTTAAGAAATAAATTATAAGGAAGTATAATCTTTTTCGAATACCGAATTGAGATTTCATCAGTAATTTTGTTATATTAGGTTAAATGATTTTTAATGTGGTTCAAAAATAAATTTGATTTGTAATCAAATTTAATTTATGGCATTAGCGTGGCATTAGCATGTTTTAAAGCAGTACTTTAAACTACGCTAATGCCACAATTTAACTTATAACAATGTAAATATTAAAGTTGTAAATATATTGGGTGTATATATATATATATATATATTATATATATATATATATATATATATATATATATATATATATATATATATATATATATATATATATATATATATATATATATATATATATATATATATATATATATATATGTATAATAAAGAAAATGATGACCTCTGACACCTAAAAGTGTCAGAGGTCATCATTTTCTTGCCATTTTTCATTACATACATGTTTTATATATATTATATATATGTACATTTAATGTGCTATAGTATTTTTTAATTTTTTTAATTTTTTTTTTCAACAAGCCTAGTATATGTTTCAATTTATCAATGTTTAAAAAATTCTTGTTTATATATATGTACAAAGTTAGCAAAAAATAAAAAAAAAGTACACACATAAATGCTACTGTACCAAACAACTTATAAAGAAAGCTAATAATGGCGTTTTTAAAAAGTTTTTAGTTAAAAAAAATATATTGCATGCTATTAAAGGATGCATTTATAAAATGTATGCAAGTCTGTTGTACCACTGGGCTACAAGAGACTTCCTTGTGGTTGTTGTTGAAAATATTTAATCTATATAATAAGATATTATAACAGAAAACTTAATAGTATTGTTAAGCATTGTTAATGCAAAATGGATTGTTTTAAAGGATGACTCGTAGAAGACTAGAGATTCTTATCGTTGAGTACCTTAATTTAATTGTTTATACGGTCATCATTGTTAAATAATAACAACACATAAATGTTTAATGCATATTAATAAAGCAGTTTGAGTTAAGTATGTGGTTTTTTTTTTTTTTTTTTTTTTTTTTTAAAGTGACAGAGTAATTTGTTTCTTTTGAGTTCTATTTTTTTGGATATTATTTTGTTATAAGGTACGAACCCCTGTATGTAATAGAGTATTGTGAAAACTTCGTTATTTTTATTGGTAATGTAAATTATCCTGTTTCTCTTGTGTTTATCTGTTTGTCCTAATTTGAAAAATATCATCTGAAAAGAAAAATATATATATATATATATATATATATATATATATGCATTTATAATATGCAAAATAATTTATTGAAGCCAATTAAAGTATGTTATGCAGCCCTTGGAATTAGAAAAAATAAGGTTAACAATATTTTGCCGACCTTAATCTTTAAGAGGTCGGCAAAAAAAGTTTAATACAAAAGTTTTACCATAAAATGAGGTTGGCAATTTGTCGCCAACCTCAAGTACTTTAAGGTCAGCAGTTAATTTTGCATTGATGAATGCCAACCCTAATTCAGAGCGCTGGTTATGAAACTTTAGCTGTATAGATTTGTCTATTACTTCCTATTTATTTGTAAAACCTTGTTTAACCTTGACCAGCAATAATTTTTTCTTGGAGATCAAAATAGGGAGATTAAAATTTGATCATTCTGAATGGTTTTTGACCATTTGTTATTATTTAAACTAAGGAGGTATCTGAATGATATGCGCTTATACATGCATGAAAAGTAGTTTTATAACAAAAGTATATCTATTCACTTAAAGTGTTTGTATGTTATTTTATTATTAATAAAAAAAAAATTAATTTGTTAAATTTAATCAATCCATTTTAAGTAAAAATCTAGTATATTATATAAATTTTGTCAAATTAACTTTTAGATAAATCTCTTTTAACTGTATACAAATTGAATTACAGTTGGCCCAGAAGACAAAGTTTTGAAAATAGAATAAAAACTATTGATTGAGAAATCATTAAAAACTCTGAGTAAATTGCTTGATAGATTTATTTGTTGGTTATAGGAAAATATAATTTAAAAACATTTTGACTAGGTTCTGGTTTCTATTTTTAGGCATTTTTGACAATTTTGTGTTTTTTGATAAATATTAAATGTTAAAACATTTTTAAATGACAAAAGAGTTATTTATTAGATATATATAAAGAAAAATAAATTCGAAAGTTTACTAGGTTTTGGAAACCTGTTTCCTAATGTTCATTGATTGGAAATTAAGTACTCAAAAACATGTATTTGATCAAATTTCAAATTTAGTTAATGTTGATATTATAAAAGATTTTAAAAGGTTTTATAAATATATCATCAAAATATCTATTTGGTTTTGAAAATATATGCTCATGATATCTGCTTGTGTACTTTTTAGGACTATAATCTCGGTATAATGGTGAAAAACTATGTGAAGTGTGTGGTGTGAAGTGTGCAGTTAGTTTGTGCTTATGGCACATACTTGTAAAAATATTAGGTGTAGAATTGTAATACAAGTTTTGGAATTTTTTTAATTTTACTTTGATAAGAAACTATACAAAATATTACACTGGTTTGAGAATGTAACGGTAACATGCTATCTTTATTATAGGAGAGCATAGAATTTGAATCTGGTGGTTTTTATGGCTCACAGTGGTTTTTATGGCTCACAGTGGTTTTATGACTCGCAGCGGTTTTTTTGGCTCACAGTGGTTTTATGACTCACAGTAGTTTTTATGGCTCATAGTGGTTTCAGAATGTAACAATGTTTTTTAGGATGGTCAATCAGAAGTTCTACACTCTGTTCAACATCTGTCTATTAAGTAGTTTTGGTTTTGCAAAGTATACAATTTGCACCTCCTAGTCCACTGATAAGTTATAAATCCTCCAATATATCTTAAATATAAATTTTGATATTAACATAATTTTTGCTGAGCACATAACACATTCCTTTAGCACATAATTCTTTTTGTGCGTTATCCGTTATTACTGTTAATGAACAACAGGAATTAAACAAACCTTAGTTTGTCTCTGTTTCCCTTATCTTTTTTACCCTTAAAAGTTCTTTGTATTGAACAGAACATTTTCCATCCAAAACATTAGTAATTGTAGCTCAGAGTTTTTTTTTTCTAATTCAACTAAATCATTGGTTGTTATAAAGTAGATGGTTTTTAAAGTAAAAGAAATCTTTTTTTTCATAACTAAATATAAGTGAATGCATTGAAGCCACTGAATCATCAATCCTAAAGTTTAATCTATGTCAAAGGTATCTATTTTTTTTTTTTTTTAATGATGCAATTTCAACATGAGCATTATGCTCTTACAATTTTATATATTATTTATATTTAAGAGGTTACCCAATAACTGGTTTAACATTTTAAGTGATAAACTTATTATTATAGTTTACAAGATCTTAATTTTTTTTCTTACTATCTTATTACCTGTAAAAAAAATTTTGTTTTAAAACACACGGTTCTGTGATGTAAACATCTACTTCTTTAATAATGTCTTTTGATGCTTGTGTAAGAATACCTATTTTTCTTGATATGTTTTATTCTTTCAGATATTTGTGTTTCTGAAAAGTAATTATTTAATGGCTAATTATGTTTTGACTAATTGAGCTAATGATTAAATATGAAAACTTTGTCAACTTTAATAAATTTTATAAAAAATCAACTTCAATGATACATCTTATGATTATTTTCCTCAATTACAATAAACCTTTTACTGATGCTGAATTACAAAAAATAAATAAAGGCAAATAGATAAATAAAAAATTAAATATTTTTAAGGAAAAAAATTATTACTGTTCCCCTTTTTAAAATCATTTAAATAAAAAAGTGCTATCTTGTCTTAGTTGCTCTTAAAAGTAGAGATCTTAAATTTTGAAAATGTATGACACAGTAAAGTTTTTTTGTTGATAAAAGAGTTCAAGTTAACAACAAAATTACTTTGTTTATTTAAAAAAACTCAAAAGCAAACTGTGTGTTAAAAATAACACAAACTCTAAATCTTGAACTTTGTCCTCTAAAAAGATTTAGAGCTGCAAAATTGAAATCCAAAGGAATCCTGTGGAGTCTTGCAGGGGCGGATCCAGCATTTTTTGGTGTTTGAGATAGCTAACTTCCAGACATGGAGCAAACTCCAAACATTTATATGTTTATACTTATATCAAATAAGGATGGTTTGCAAAAAATTGCAATGATTGGAGCCTGGGAACAAAAAAGCCCCAAAATTTGAGACGTACCTGCCCCAAACGTGAGAGCAACAAGTTGATAAAATATTTTTTGTACTATTCTCAACAAGACTTACATTTATCCATAAATTTTAAATTCCATTGTAAAATATTTTAGCGCTCAAAAATTATGACCATATAAAAATTGTAACCCCCTCGAATTGAGGGGGATTCAAACTTTACATGGTCATAATTTTTGAACGCTGAAATATTTTACAATGAAATTTAAAATTTATGGATAAATGTAAGTCTTGTTGAGAATAGTACAAAAAATATTTTATCAACTTGTTGCTCTCACGTTTGGGGCAGGTACGTCTCAAATTTTGGGGCTTTTTTGTTCCCAGGCTCCAATCATTGCAATTTTTTGCAAACCATCCTTATTTGATATAAGTATAAACATATAAATGTTTGGAGTTTGCTCCATGTCTGGAAGTTAGCTATTTTAAACACCAAAAAATGCTGGATCCGCCCCTGGTCTTGTGCACTTAAAAGATATACACATTAACTACTTAAACCTAGTATTAGAAACTTAAACCTTGTGTTACAAATTTAAACCTTGTGTTAAAAACTTAAACCTTGTGTTAGAAACCTAAACCTTGTGTTAAAAACTTAAACCTTTTTTTACAAATTTAAACCTTGTTTTACAAATTTTAACCTTGTGTTACAAATTTAAACATTGTGTTAAAAACTTAAACTTTGTGTTAGAAACTTAAACCTTGTGTTAGAAACTTAAACCTTGTTAATGACATTATTCTTAAACAAATCCTGTAAATATAGATTCAGACATTGTAAGCTCTATATATATATGCATTTTTTTTATAGATGTAAAACTTGTGGAGAATATATTTATAAAGGTCGAAAGTTTAATTCAAGGATGGTAAGCTCCTTTTTTTTAATTTATTATAAAAGTTTAATGTTATTAAATTTTTTTTTACTCAATTCTTTTTGTTCAAATTTTTTTTTTTATGGTTTGTAAGTTTGAAATGATTGAAAATGATTGAAAAAATTCATTTTGACTAGGAAACAGTGGAAAATGAAACTTATTTAGGTTTGCGTATTTACAGATTCTATATTCGATGTACAAAATGCATCTCTGAAATTACATTTAAAGTAAGTCTTTTTTGAAAATTTTTAAAAGTATTTCTTGTATTGTTTTTTTATATTTACTTTTTTTTTTTTTTTATATTTAAAATCATAATTTCAATGATTATTTTTTTCCTGTTATTTCAGGAGTTCTAAATATTTCTTTAAACTTTTAGTTTTTACTAAAATGTTTTCTGTAAATATGACTTTAAATATATATATATATATATATATATATATATATATATATATATATATATATATATATATATATATATATATATATATATATATATATATATATATATATATATATATATATATCAGGCCTTGTTAAGAATCGTTACGCAGCTCACATTTTACCTGCGAAAAGGCGATTTGCCTACGCATTCAGCAGTTTTGCATTACGCAAAAACTTTAATATTTTAGAATATTTAAATTATCATTTGATATCGTTTATGTGACGTTTATTCAGAGGAAAATAAAGTTGTAAGTAAAAGCATTTAACCACAATTGTAAACTAATAGATTTTTTGTTAAAGAAAAATTTTTTAAATTTTTTTTATTGTTGTTGTTGTTAAAAATTAGTTTAAAAAAAATAAGTGATTTAAGTTTAAACTTTTTATCATATTTAATATTAAGTTTTATATTTCATAAGTTTAAACATTCAAATTAAAAAAAAAAAAATTTCAATTTATTTTATTAAATTTAAATATTTTTTTATTAATCATAGTTTTTAGTAAATAAATTTATTAAATTTTATTAAAATTATTTTATTTAATTTGAAAACAGAGCATTTTAAATTTTTTTATTTTTAAAATGCTCTGTTTTACAATTTTTTTTTTATGATAAAATTTCCAAAGTAAAAAAAGATTTAATAAATTTAATTCAAGTAACTTTAAAATGTTCGTATTACATATAACTTTATTTTAATTTCAGTTAAATTTCAGGTAAGTTCCAGTTCCAAATACTGGTCTGAATAATGCGCTGAACAAAAGCACATTATTTTCCAGTTTTTATTTTTCCATTATTTTACAGCTTCATTCATTATTTACAGAAGCGCATTATTCATTTTATAACTACAAGTTAATAACGTCAAAACAAAAAAGTTCTTTTAAACTCGAGTTATAAATGTTATGTTTGGGTTTTCCCTTAGCCGTTTGCCAAAGAATTTTTTTTATAAAACCAAACCTATTAAAAATTACGCGATCAGTAAATAAACTCTTGAAAAGCCCAACTTATATTTATTTTATTTTAAAAACAAAACTAGTACTAGAGCTATAAATATTATTAATATAAGTTAAATAAATTTCAAAATTATAATGATATTTGTTAAAAACAAATTCTGCTTATAACATCTTAAAACCAAAAACACTATTTTTTTTTTCGAATTGAGTAAAAAATAGTAACATAAGGTTTCACTGTACATAAAAATAAAATATTTTAATGAAAATAAAAAAAAAACAAAGCCCAAAAGCAGTAAATTTCGTTTCTTTACAATATTTATTTTATCTAAACCAGTTAGTGCAAACGTTTTTTTAAAAAGGAGAAAACCCAATCTATGCGTTTAGTTGTATGTACATTTAAATCCCTTTAAGAAAATCAACCATAAACAAGTGTTAAATTTAAATTATTAAAATAAAATATATTAAAAAAAAAAAAAAAACAACCATAAAACGAATGTTTGATAGCAAAAAAATTAAGTTTAAATAAGTATAAAATTTTAATACAAGAAGACTTTTTTTTAATCAACATTAAAACTTTAGTGTTTTTTTTATAACAATATTGTTCAATTTAAAGCTATTTCGTTTCAAAGACTAACAATAGTTTTTAATGTCATTTTAAATTTAATTAGAGTGAAGTAAAAACGCAACTGACGTAATTTAACTTTTTACAATGTAAATATCTTTATTGAGTAAAGTTACATTTATTCACGTTTTGCTTTTCTGTTACGCAGCGAAATCTCGTAACAAGGCCTGATATATATATATACAGGGGTGGGACCGCAAAATGTGAACACTTTTCTGATTGTAATAATTAATTTTCTGTTAAATATGAACTATTTTAAATGTTCAATTTTTGTTTTTTTACATATTATATTTTACTTTGTTTACATATTCATTAGTACTTTGTCTTTCGTTTTTTATCTAATAAACTCAACTACTTCTAACGAGAAAATAGTTATAATAAAACAAAAACGTTCACATTTTGCGGTCCCACCCCTGTATATATATATATATATATATATATATATATATATATATATATATATTATATATATATATATATATATATATATATATATATATATATATATATATTATATATATATATATATATATATATTTGTTTTTTAACTTTTTCTTTCATTGCCCATAAAAAGTGAAGGAAAAGTTTTATGCAAATTGAGAAAGCCACCAGCAAAATTAATTAAAAAATGATTTTATATTTTTATCTTTTGTTTTTTTCAAAATATTTTTTAATCATTTAAGATATGACTTAGGATCATCACTGTCAAAATGAATGAAATCTTGATTGGCTGTAAGTGAATTTATGAGAGAAGTTAAACATGTCAAAACATTCCATTTTTTTTGAAAAATCAATATAATGAATGTATGCAATATAAAATTTATATTAATACATTTAAAATATTAACTTAGATGAGGAAACGTTTTAAAAAGATGTTTCTTTTTTTATTTGGAGGTTGCCTCTAGTCTATTTTTTTAAAACTATTTATTAATTTTTTTCAAAATGAATCACCTAACCATTTTATCATCAGAAAAAAAAGACTCTAAAATCCAATTGTTATTATTGAATGTTGTTATGTATGGAGTGCTATCAATTCTTCCAAAATTGTTATGGAGTACCCTAAATTTTTTTTGAATGTTATTATGGAGCATTCTAAATCTATAATAAATCTATTCTAAAAATTAGTTAGGAAACTACATTTGAAATATGTAGTGGAAACACTAATTCCAAGAGTGAAAACACTAAATCCAAAACTTCACTCATAAACCATTTATTTTACACAATTTGTTAAAAAAAAATCACTGATTTAAAAAAGTCTTGTATTAAAAACACTCCTGTTTGCTTATTCTAGAAAAACACCATCTATTTAAGTATGAAATTTCTTCACACTATTAAGTTAACAAAATCTTGCTCATCTTATGAGAAGTGCATAAATTTTTTTTTATTTTTTTTTTGAAAAAATTTTTTCGAAAAAAAATTGAAAAGGTATGTTGATATGTTCTGAACAAATAGAACCCCGGTATGAAATAGAGTATTGTGAAAACTTTGTTATTTTTATTGGTAATGTAAATTTTCCTGTTTCTCTTGTAGTGTATCTGTTTGTCTTAATTTGAAAAATATTATCTGAAAATATATATATGCGTTTATAATATGCAAAATAATTTATCGAAGCCAATTAAAGTATGTTATGCAGTCCTCGGAATTAGAAAAAATGAGGTTGACAATATTTTGCAGACCTTAATCTTAAAGAGGATCTCCTGTTTGCTTATTCTAGAAAAATGCCATCCAGTCAAGTATGAAATTTTTTTCTTCACAATATTAAGTTAACGCAATCTTGTTCATCTTTGTTGAGAACTGTATAAATTCTTTTTTTTTTTTGAAAAAAGTTAAAATAAATTTTGTGATCATTTTCTAGATTGTGGAGCTATTTTGTAATAGAACTTTTAAAAAATTAAAAAAAAAAATTCATATCAATCCATAAAGGCTCAATTCCAGTTGAATTCAAAATTAGTTATTGAGGGTTATAAAATAAGTTATTGAGGGTTATTGAGTTATCCTGAGTTTATTGTACATATTTTAACTACTAACAGCTTACACATTGAACCACACACATAGAAACACATAAAGAAACATTTACAAAATATAAATCCATATAATTTACATAACACATAATTAATAACACACATTACCACATCACATGACACATAATTAAACTTATCAAAAACTGTTACAAATATAACATTTACAAATACAACATTATTTGTGTAATATTCGTTCATTGGCATACCTTGAAATGCATGTTTATCAAATTAAAAAAAGAATTATTAAATGACTTGGTTCTGGAACATGCTACATTGTGTGAAAAGCAAGTCTTTTTGAGATAAACGTCAACTTTATCAAATGTTTGACCCTGACTTTTCTTTACTGTCATAGAGTATCGTTAATAAAAGTGTCATTTAAATTATTTAACTTAATAGCATTAAAATAATGGGAAAAATTGAAAAACAACACAATAATTTATGAACAAAAATGTATTTTAAAAAATATATATAATTATAATGAAAATATTTATAATAAAAATTTGGAAATAACCTATAAAAACCAGAAATCACTTAATCACTTCAGTAGATGTTCCTCCCCTTACTGTTGGTGCAGTACTTGTTGATGTTTTTGTTGCATTAACTGGCCATAAGAAATATTAAAATTTATGTTTCATCATCATCATGACAGTACAAATATTTAATTTATGTTTCACCATGACAGTACAACACATGGCTGGAAAAGATAACATTCTTGCCGAGTCACATTATAATAAAATTAAAACAAAGCCAAATCACATTATAACAAAGTAAACCATTTGGCTATTAAGGACAACAGTCTTTGTGTAAACTAAATCAAGTCACAACACTTTGAAACAACCATGGAAACAACATAAAAACCAATTACAGAGTATTAACACATAACATAAACATAAAAGCACTTCATATATAAAAGATATTTACACATTTATGGCACATAAACACTTACAAAATATAAACCCATATTACCTTAACACATATAATTGACATAGGACTTAAATTGTGCTATTATTAAAATGCATGAATTAAATAAATTACCTGACATTAAAAGTTCCTATATTAATTTAAAAATAATATAAAATTTATCTATTACTACAGAAGTCATTAAATAATTATCTAATATAAAAGTTTTAGATCTTATTACTGATTAAGCGGATATTAAGATTTAAGAATACCTTATCAAGTGGTCAAAAATATAAAGGGAAATATTATAAGGCCAAGTGTGCCAAATCTTCTTTAAAAAACTTGGTGTCAAGCACGTACGAATGAGTAATGGCAGCAGCGTTAAATTGATCAATAATTATAAGCAATAAGTATTGTTTTCAATGTTCCCATAGTTGTTTCTGTTAATTGTAAAAAGTAATCATTCAAAAATTTAAAGTTGCTGTGGGTTAAGATGGTTTCTATTATAATGTCAATAAAATCAATAGGTGGGCATTTATGGGTCTGTTATAAGGGTGTGTGCAGGGTTGTTTTAAGATATAGGAACTCTGATGTTTTTTTATTGATCATATGATAAAGAGTCATATAATCAATAAGGTTGTTAACATCTCTCTTGGATTTTTTAAAAGTAGTTTTTATGTGTTTTTAACTAATAAAAGTTGAAAGATCTTCTTTTCATTGTCAGTTTTGTCTATAATACAAATACCCCTTCTTTTTCTGCCTTTTTTATGGATTTTAAATGATTAAACTTAAAGAAGCTATGTGGGTGAACAAGTTTAAGAGGTAAATTTTTTTCATCTTTTGGTAATAGTGAGAAAACAAGTGCGGTTATATCACATTCTACCAAATTTAGATAATAGTTTTGTTTTTTATCATAAAGGGAAACCAGTTTAGCTTTTTATGAAATAGATGCCTCTCTATCTCTTTGGTCCCAAAATAGAGTTGTTGGAGAAGTGTTGTTTTGAATCTTTCAAAAGTCATTATGTGAACATTAAGAGGCATATTTGTAAATAAAGAAATAAAATTAAATCCCAAATGTAAAAGCTCTCTTTTATCGTCATACGATGTATTTTAATATGTTGGTTAGTTATTGTTGAATTGATGTTAGAAATTTGACTTAGTTTAAATGATTTCTTGGTTATATTGTCTCATGTTGCTATGTGCTGTTGGTGAAAACAATTTAGCCAGAGTAATGGTTGAAACTTCTTTATTCATAGGATGGAGTAAATGGTTTTCTTTGTTGATATTAGAGAAAAATATTTTATCAAAAATGTCTGTAATAACCTTTACAATCTTTAGTAAAATACAATAGATAACTAGTGTAGACAATTTTAGTAAAAGAAACAATCAACTAGCAAACACAGTTAATGTTTGTGGATTTTTTACCATGTGATAGAAACCATTAAACGATCAACTTGATGATAAGTTGACATAGAATAGCCAAACTAAAAGAAATCTACACATTAAATAAGTTAATACATTCAAGAAAACTGAACATATGAATAACTTAAAAAGTTCTTGATAATAGTAATAATAACTGTAATAAAACTAGATGAATTTTAGAATTTTAGATGAGTTTATTAAATTTTTTTTTAGCAAAATGGGTGGTTTATTAAAAAATGAAGTTTTCTTGACAGTCCAAATTAACATAGTTTTGAGACCATAACCAAATTGAAATTCTTAATAATGAAATTTTCTCTACGGTCCAAATTAACATAATTTTTATTATGTTAATTTGGAGATCATAGCAAATACTTGATAAAATATACATCAACAAATCAGACTGTCGAAAGTCACTAGTTAACAAAAATAAATATATAAAAACTCAAACGCACATGATTACCACATATATACAACATACCACAGACTATCTATACCAGAAATTACATATTAAAAGAAAATATTATCTAAGTAAGGATGAGTTCAAACAAAGTTTATCTATAAAAGTACAAAAAGCATGCAAAATGATGTAACAGGCTTGATGTGCCAAACAAAATATAATATCAATTTCATCATTTATGAAATTGATCAATCGATGATTGATACAAATTATGAAAAATATCACAAACATAGATGTGAAAATCTGCTCAAATTAAAAAATTTTTTTTTTGAATTAATACAAAGCAAATGTAAAAAGTTTGTTTTTAATTGCAATTATAGTGATTATTTTTAATTATAGCGATTAATTTTAAGTATAATTATTGTTTTTTTATAGACAGATCCGGAAAACACTGATTATGTAATGGAAAATGGTGCTACAAGGAACTTTGAAGCATTTAAAAAACTTTCAGAGCAAATAGCTAAAGAAAAACTAGACAAAGATGAAGAAGAAGCAAATAACCCAATGAAGGTTAGTTGTTTTAGTAACAGGTTATTAGTTGCCATTAGTTACCAGGTTATTAGTATACCAAGTTATTAGTTATTTAAGTAACAAATTTGTTAGTTTAAATTTTTTAAAATTTCAAATGTTTGACTTTTTTAGGCTTTGGAAAATCGTACAAGAGATTCTAAAAGAGAAATGGAGTCCATTGAAAAACTAGAGGAGCTTAAAGATTTAAATACCAGACTTGCTAAAAGTAATTTTGTTAGATTATTTAGTAATTATTTGTAATTGTTATTTTGTATATATTTTTCTACTTTTTTTTTAACCTTTTTTTTTTTTTTTTTTTTAAATTTTGAGTTTAAAGTTTGAAAAAAATTTCAAATCAAATAGATTAAAATAATTTTGAAAAATTTTAAAATAATTTTTTGTTATAAAAATTCTTTGATTGTCTATAGTTGATCACGATAAGCTCATACTTAATCATTTAAAAGAAGAAGCTGTTGCAAAAAGAAGTCAGGAGGAAGAAGATGAATACCTTGTAAAGTAAATAATGTTTGATCATTTATAAAGTTTTTTTGGTTACAGTTTATACAGTTTTACAGATTTTTGGTTTGGTTGGAGCTTGAGTTACTTTTTTTCTGAAGGATTTTTGTAAACCAAAATTAAATAAAATCAATTAGCGATGTTTTGTATCTTTGAAATTTAGATTACTTTCTTGACAATTAACTTCAAGTATGCATATTTCAGATTATTGAAAAAGTATTTAAATCTTTAAATATATATATATATATATATATATATATATATATATATATATATATATATATATATATATATATATATATATATATATATATATATATATATATATATATATATATATATATATATATATATATATATATATATATATATATATATATATATATATATATATAGGCTTGGTCGGGAAGCGGGAGCGATGAGAAACAATTACACAAAAAAAAAAAAAAATAGGCAAATAAAATATCTTTAAACGCGAAAAAATTTAAAGCTAAATAAATTACATTTAGAGCAAATATTTTCGAAACATCGCTCTTTTATAATTTTTTTATAAAATTAAGCGATGTTTTTTATAGAAACATCAACTTTTTATAGAAACATACAACCGTCAACTTAAACGATTGTTTAAAAAGGAAACAAGTATTCTTTATTTAACTAAGTTTGCAAGTTTTAGTTTTACTTAAGCTTAATTTATTTTATAAATAAAAAAGTTAATTTTTTTAATACCTATTTTATGTTTCGCGTAGTTTGAAAAGTTTAACATATTTGAAGCGATTCTTCTTAGTAAGATAAACAAATGAAATAATTAAATCATTGAATTACTATAAGAATTAAATTATCAAGATAGAAATTAACTAAAAAAGTTAAAAATACTTAATAACCAGGAAGCGAAACTGCTTTACAATATCGCTGATGATGTTTAGTGAGTGGGCTTTAAAATTTTAATTAGTATTTAAAGCAGAAAAAAGTATAACAAGTTTTAAGAATGGCAACTTAAGCGAAAATAATTAGAGTTAGTAAACCAATATCTAGAAATTTTTCTTTATATCTAATTATTTGCTATATATATTTGTGTTCTGTCGTGACCTCAGGCGCGATGCTTGTTCATCCGCGAGTTACTTTGTATGCGTTGTTTGTGTTTAGTAACCAGAAACTTCTTATATATTTGTTACATAATTAGTTTTATTAACTATAACGATTAGAACTTCATTGAAAACGCAATTATTTTTGTTTAAATCATAAAAATTGCTTTAAAAGATACATTACGATAAAAAACAAATACACAAAATTACATTTACATAAAGAATACAATCTCTTTTAAAATAAAAAGTAAGAATATACTAATAAAATTTTTGATTTATAATAAACTTTTAAAATTTTAACAATTTAATTAATATATATTTAAAACATATATTTACGTAAACAAATAATATATATTCTTAAAACAATGCTAAAAATCTCAAAACGTAACAAATCGTGAATAATACAATTTCTAAAACATTTTAACATAATACTCTAGAACTTTATTTCACTTAATCAGCGTATTTTTTGAACCAATAGAATTTGTTTGTTCGTTAATTTGGCGGGTTTTTAGTGTTCGCAAATATTCTTTTTATTCTTTCGCACAAAGGTGTTTTGAGAACATTCAAGTTTTTTATGTTTCCATGTATGTCTGTAAAACAAAAAATTTTTGTTTCGTACATAAACTTAAATGTTCTCAAAACGACTAAATAACCTGGCCAGTTTTACGCAACTAAATATAATTTCTGTGGTCAGTATTCGAGAGCAATCGCTCCCGCTTCCCGACCAAGCCTGTATATATATATATATATATATATATATATATATATATATATATATATATATATATATATATATATATATATATATATATATATATATATATATATATATATATATATATATATATATATGTATATTAGAGTGATTCAGGTTATTGTGTTATTTTATTTTTTTATTAATATCAATTTGGGTCATAATTGCTCTTGTTTCTATACATGAGAGAAGTCCTTAGCTTGGGGTTCCCAAAATCATAAGGGGAACAGGTGAGGAGCAAGCTAGTGCCTGCCATGAACTATTGGATAATTGGCATCTCAAAGACAAAATGCGTGGGCTTGTGTTCGATACAACAGCCTCAAACACTGGCTTAAAATTTGGAGCTTGCACAATTATTGAAAAAACTCAAGAAAGACCTTGTGTGGATAGCATGTTGCCACCATGTTTTTGAAGTTTTCTTTCTAGCGTATTTGCATCCAAATATCTTGGAGCTACCACTGGACCTGATGTAGGTTGGTGCAAACAATTTCAAAAAGAATGGCCTACATTAGACCAAAGCAAATATGATGCTGCTGATGAAATGCTCTTCAGTGGATCCATGACTGATTTCCGCAATGAAATGGTTGCATACTACAAAGAGGCTATAATTAGCCATCACCAACGCCAAGACTATAATGAGCTTCTACAATTGTGCCTCATCTTTCTTGGTGGTTGCCCAAAAGGAGAAATACGATTTCGAGCGTCTGGAGCCATGTACCACGCCAGGTGGATGGCGAAGGGCATCTATTCCATCTAAATCCTTCTTTTCAAGAATCAAATGACTCTCACTGCTCATGAAAGAAAAGCCCATGTCACCCTGTTTGTTGCTCTAGTCTATGGAAAATTTTGGCATGAAGCTTACTTGGCAGAAAGAACCCTATATAATGACTTAAGACTGTTGAGACTTTGAATGATTATAAATACAGCAATGTTGTTAGAGATGCAGCAATGACAGCCTTCAAAAGATACCTATGGTATTTTCATTTGATTGGCTTGGGTTTTTTTTGACCCCTGCATTGATGTTCATACAAAAGCCACCATGGTTCAGAACCTTAAACGTGCTGAAAAGAAAATGTCACCAAAGAGAATTGAAGGCAAAATATTCAAGTTGGAAAACCCACTGGAGTCATACATTACAAGCCCAACATCTCATCTTTTCAACCTTCTCATCGACAACAGAACAGAGAAGGCTCAAGTTTTTCTCTCGATGCCACCGGACCTTTGGAAAATGAATCCAATTTATATTCAGTTCAGGAAAACTCCCAGGCAAATGAAAGTAGTTAATGACTGTGTGGAGAGAGGGGTTGCTTTAGACCAGACCTTCAATTCTTCAATAACAAAAGATGAAAAGCAAAAGCAATAACTCAGTTCAGAATAACTAGAACCTCTTTAAGTCATGATATTTTATTTCGTTTTTGTTTTGTAACAATCTTCTTGCTGAAGAAACTAAATTTTACATTATTTCTCGTTTCTTCCATCGTAACAACATTTATTGTTCAAAATTGCACCACCCCTAGTTATGTTTAAAAATTTTTTAAATTGGCCAAAATGGTCCATATGGGGAATAGAACAAAAGCAAATGTCTTGCATGGTAGTCACAAAGTTTTTCCCATAAACTGTTTTAAAGAGCGTGTTAATAAGCCTGACCAGAAAATGTTAAAAACTTCAAAAAAAAAATTTTATTTTTTTTAAATGATAGACTGCCTGCCCAAACCAAACCCTTAGTCGATGTAGCAGCACTCCCTTGCGAGTTAGGCTATCTGTCAGTCGATGTAGCAGCACTCCCTTGCGAGTCAGGCTATTTGTCAGTCGATGTAGCAGCACTCCCTTGCGAGTCAGGCTATTTGTCAGTCGATGTAGCAGCACTCTGTTATGAGTCAGGCTATAAGATAGTCGATGTAGCAACACTCCCTTGTAGCAGCAGACTATAAGATAGTCGATGTAGCAACACTTACGCATATTTTAAAAATGTTTTTTAATAAAACAAAAACAAAAACACCACTAATTAAAAAAAACTTTCTAGTCATTATTATTGCGTTTTTTTTTAAAAAACAATAAAATTTAATGTACTTCCGTATTAATTTAATTGCTTTGACATTTCGATGACAACAAAATGCAGCTTAAGAGGCGAGGTAAAAAAATTGTAGTTGAAAGAGACTTTTTTTACCATAAAAGTCTCTTTCGAATACACTATAAGGATATATATATATATATATATATATATATATATATATATATATATATATATATATATATATATATATATATATATATACATATATATATATATATATATATATAAATTAGTAGAAATACTAATTTATATATATATTTATACTAATTTATATATATATATATATATATATATATATATATATATATATATATATATATATATATATATATATATATAAATTAGTAGAAAATCACTTAACAAAAATTTTTTTTTCATTTTACATTGTGTTTTATCAACAAAGATTCATCAGATTTTCTGATGAATCTTTGTTGAAACAATGAAACACAGTGTAAAATGAAAATATATATTATAATATATATATATATATATATATATATATATATATATATATATATATATATATATATATATATATATATATATATATATATATATATATATATATATATATACATATATATATATATATATATATATATATATATATATATATATATATATATACACATATGTATATATTTGTATATATATACATATGTATATATATGTTTATATATATGTAACATATATGTATATATATGTTTGTGTATATATATATATATATATATATATATATATATATATATATACACATATGTATATATTTGTATATATATACATATGTATATATATGTTTATATATATGTAACATATATGTATATATATGTTTGTGTATATATATATATATATATATATATATATATATATATATATATATATATATATATATATATATATATATATGTATATGTTTATTATATTAGGGTGACAATTTTTTTTTGCACTCTTTTAACTTGCAACTTGCAAAAGTGCAAATACACTGTGTAAATACCTGTTCTCCATCTATATACTAGCTTAAATTGAAAATTTTAGCTAACTAAGACCATTGGAACAGGTAAATGTATTTTTTCAATAATTTAAATATTCATCATTTTTTCAGTTAGTATAATTACTGTTTTATATTATTAGTAATATTGACTTCAATCCGAGATAATTAACAAAAAAGTTTATCAAATAAAATATGTTTGCATTTACAGCATTATAAAACAATATCTTCAAATTAACAAAATCTTTCTGATAAACATTCTTTGAAATCTGCAAAATATTTTGTCTCTGATCATCAGAGTGTGAAGAGTTCACAAACTTTTGTATAAGTCCAATGTTTCTTTCAGAATAATCATTTGTGAGTTGTTTAATAAAAAGGACAAATTTCTTGTATGAGGGTATTGACTCTAAACCTTTTTTATTCTGGCATGCTTCCAACCAAATCTTTGTTTCCTTTACTAAGTCCAAAATGACAAAAAGAAACCAGCTTTCACAGGTAACCAGATCATAAAGTTTATTATTTTCATTTACTAAAACAGGAAGTGGTTTCTCTTTATTAATCTCACTAATGTCAGGAACCTCGTGTTCCAACAAGGCCTTCAAAATGTCAGACTTTATTTGAATTTTAAGGTCAGAATCAGCAAGACCCATGACTACTGCTTTAAGCAAGAGATACCAGGAGTGAGATTTTAAACTATTTAAAAGTGAAGTTCCTACATCAATATCCCATTCCTCCTATATGATTTTTGCTACTTTGGATGAATTGAAGTAATCCAATACTAAATGTTCAGCAAGGCTGGATTTTAAAAACCGTGGAGCATAAAATATAACAATCATTAGACAAACTTTAGAGATTAGAATCTGCTGGTCTTGATTTAAGTACTTTATAACTGGCGATGTTAATGCTAAAGCCATGCAATATAATGCATCTGCCATGAATCTAGCTTCATGACTGGCACCTGGTAAATGAATCCTAAAGTTTTTTAGCTTATCGGACTGAATATTAAGATAGAAAGCTAAGTATTCCACAAGATGTCTGTAATCATCTTGGGGAAAAATCTCCAATTCAAGAGCAAATTTAATATATGTTTTTGCCTCCATTTGATGAATTCCAGAACCAGTTATGAGAGTGTTCTCATTAAACTTTTTAAAACTAGAAGAGATACCACAAGTGGATAAAAATGGATTATAATTTTTCCATTGCTTCTTAAAGGTGGAGTCAAGGGCCTTTCGTGGACCCTTGGTGTTATCTCCAGTTATTGATTTGTAAATGTTTAATATATATTTCATGGTGTCGACAAAATAGCCACAATAAAGATTTCTGAAATAATTCTCCCTCTATAGAAAATAGAAAAGAAATACCTTCTTTCCTACCAGTGTTGGTTGTTGTCAACACAACAGCAAATACTTGGTCTGAAACTTTAAAATAATCAAACAAATTTTGAATTACTAAAGCCTGATCAGATGCTTCACCTGTGTCACTTGAAACAATTCCCAAAAGAAGATTGTCCTTGTGTTGAAATTCAGATCTAGTAGCAGACACAGCAATTCTATCTCTTGTAACTGTTTGTTGGATTTCCTTATGCAATTTCTTCTATGCATAACTAGTTTGCAATCAAAGTGAAGAAAAAGATTTTTTCCACTCATTCCCTCTATATAGTTCTGTCTAATTTCATTTCAGTGATTTTGAACAACCTTGTAACGCTTCAATCTGACTTATGTTTGATTCAGATATCAATTTTTTCTCATTTGAATAATTTCCATCAGGGTTTTTAATTGAGGGTTCTAAATCATCTAAATCTGAATAATCGTTGTTCTTGTTTTTATGATTTCAGCCTTTATTGACATTTTTCCAAACTAGCAACTTTCCCTTGGTCATTGATACCCATTTTTTGTGAAGTTTCACAAATTTTAATAATATTTTATCCTCTCCAATAATATAGTTTTTAAAACCACAGGACTCCCAGATGTTCACTATTTTTCTAAGAAGACAAATCTCCATTTTCCTGATAACATGATGTTTTTACTTTGTATTTCATGTTAAAAATTATTCCCATAGAACAAGAAAAGTTATCGTAAATACTTTGGAATCGTTTTGATCTACTGCTGATTAAATATTGATAATGTCTTAGAAGTTACCCATTAGTTGGAAGCTGATTCAGAGGCAAAAAATAAATAGGATATTTAAGAAGGTAAAGGGGCCTCCTACAACTGACATTCATATGTCTAACATGTTTCGCCTTTTTTTCAATACTTGATTGCATCTTTGTGTCTATATGTTGGCTATAACATAAATAATGTTTAATGTTTATTTTGTATTTATATTTAATTTAAAAACAATTCATTAAATTTAAATCCTAAAAGTTAAAACTGAATAATACATGTATTAAACCTTACTTGAAACTATGTTTACTACAACTTTTTTTCTAAATGCACAATTTTTTATTAGTAGTTTTGTTAACAGTATAAAAATGTTCAAAACTGCTGTAAAACGTTTTGCAATGCAATGTTATTCTATTCATTGAATGAAAAACTAAACTTTAAATTATATTTTTTCTTTTCTAAATAATACAATATGAAGAAGTAAAAAAATATTGACAAAAAACGAAGAAAATTTTAAGTTTTGGTTAATTATGAAATCATCTGATTTCTACATCTAGCACTAATACTAGTCCTTAAAAAAAAAACAAAACAGTTTTCATTCAAGGATGTAGAAAAGAATTAGATGCAGTATTTATTTTTTTTTGCAAAAAATTGTGATTGATCACTAGATTTAAATAAAAACTTAGTCATACATAAGTATAAAGAATCAAAAGTAGTTTATCACAAGAACTAGATACTTTTTGGAGATAATTTTCAATCAAAATTTGTGACTATCGTGTTATATTGGCGCAACAAAAAACATTCTTACAAAAATGCATGTGAGTGGTGTTTTAAATATTTGTTTGTATGTTTTAGTGTGACATCCAGTCATGATATGTTTAACAACTTTTACCTTAGTAAACTTTATCTTGGTAAATTTTATTTTGCTAAATTTTATTCCGGTAAATTTTAATTTGGTAAATTTCATCTTAGTAAATTTTATCATGGTAAATTTTATTTTGATATTTTTATTTTGTTAAATTTTATCTTGTTAAATTTTATCATGTGTAATTTTATCTTGAAAAATTTTATCTTGGTAAATTTTGTTTTTTGAGATTCCTACTGAATCTAATAGTTTTTAAACAAACAATTTTTTTTATGGTTGGTATTTAGTAAAGTATTAAATCTTGGATTTCACAAAATTTTCCTTTAGTGTTTTATTTTATTGTTTGGATGTTTTTTTAAAGGTTTCTTTGTTGTGTTTTGATTCTTTTAATGATTTATTGGGCAGTACAATGATCCATGTGAACGGTTTGGGTTGGAGAAGAATGAAAGTGAATTTATATGGCTAAAAAATTGCAAAATATCTTCCTATTTTGTCCTCTTTTTTTAGAATTTTTAGAACTTCCAATTTTAATTGTAGTTTCTGCATTTCTATATAAGCTGAAGTTGTTAAAATTTGTTGTTAAAAATATTAAAACATGATTTTTATACCCAATAACTTTTCATCTGAAATTACAATATTTTAGTACTTAAATAAAGTTTGAGATTGAAGATGTTAGACACTTTGATTTATTAAATTAAAAATATATAATTCTTTTAAATAATTTTTTATTAAGACATACACTTTTTGCTTTTAATTTTTTAGCGAAAATTAAAGCAAAAAACAGCAATATTTATGAGTAATACACTCATTAATGCTAATAATTTTTTTTCCTCAAATATTTTGTGCCATCTTCAATCTCTGAGTATTAATATTTTTAAAATTGATATTACCAACAAACAAAAAAATTAAACAATACATTAAAGTTAAATTTAACGCAACCAATTGAATTATTTTTAGACAGATTTTTGGTGGTGGAAGCTCGCTGGATGGGTATGTTAAACGAATAATTGATAGTGATGATGATGATGATGACAGGGATAGTGTAAATTCAGATTTTGGGAAACGAAAGGCTACAGATTATTTAACAGATCATGTGAGTAAAATAGAAAAAAAATTTAAAAGCTTTTTGTTTTTGTTTTTGTTGTTGTTGTTGTTGTTGTTCTTGTGATTACTTTTTTTGATGATGTACATATATGCAAAATGAAATTTTTGAGAAACCTCAATAATGTATAAATAAATTAGTGATTGTTATCATAATATATACATACATCATCTGAATGTTTTTAAGTTCATAATCAATATTTATTTATTAGTCTAACTAATTCTGTTTAAATTTTAGTAAACACTGTTTTAAAATTAAAAGTTGTAAAAATAAAAGTTAATAATGCTAAACTTATTGATTGAAGTAAACAGAAGATATTGTTGATTTTATGTTCAAAAGTGCTGATAAAATCTCAGAATTTAGTAAAAAGGACAAAAAAGGGGTTGATTGCAATTACTAATTTTTTTTTAATTAGTCAGTTGTTATAATTTACTGTTTTTTATTATTTATTTTGATTCCTTTGATAAGTTTTTTATAATTATAAGTTTTTTATACAGATTTTTTATTTTATTAGTTCTTGTTACAACTACTGATTTATTTTTTTCAAGTTATACTTATTTATAATTTTTAATTACTACTTTTTTATCTAGGTACCTTTTACTTCTGATATGCCAGGTCCTTCAATGCAACCAGCAAAAAAAACAAAGTTAAAAACTCCTTTTGATGACCTGTCTTCAATGGTGCGTTTAAAGACTAATGAAAAGCAAGAAAAAGTTCAAGAACTTCCTCCAATTTTACCAGTTCCAGAAACTGTCACAGAGATTAAAAAAGAGGTTCCTAAACCTATTGAGTTAAAACCTCTTCCAGAAATTAAAATAACACTTAAAAAAAATTTGGACAATAGTGATCTAAAGATGAAAGGAGCATCGCTAAATATTTTAGGGGGATATGGGAGCACTTCAGACGAAAGTGATTAATATAATGGATAGAAATAGTATGAGCTGACAAAGATGACAGTTAAAATTTGAAAGTGAAGCATAAATTTATTTATTTTTTTTACAAAATAAAGTTAAAATAAAGAATGAAAAATTCTCTTTAATTTAAATTATTTTGAAGATATTATCATTACTTTTACACTATTACACATCAAAATATTATGGTTATTCTGGTTTCAACAATACTTTAAACTTTATTATGATTATTCTGGTTTCAACAATACTTTAAACTTTATTACGATTATTCTGGTTTCAACAATACTTTAAACTTTATTATGATTATTCTGGTTTCAACAATACTTTAAACTTTATTATGATTATTCTGGTTTCAACAATACTTCAAACTTTATTATGAGCATTGGAATATTAAATGATTATTGAAAGATTCAATTTTCATTAAAATAATTTCATGCTTTTTAATCATTGTAATATTTGATTTTAATTTTTTTTTTTTAAGAAATTGTTATTTATAAGGCAGGAATTTTTTATTTATTTTGCACCTAAGTTTGTCTTTGACTATTTTTTAATTGGTTCTAATTATGTAAGAAGGTATAAAATATTTTGTTAAAGATGTCAAAAGACAGCATTGCAGAAAATTTAGCAAAATGTAGTTTAGATGACACTGTTATGAAATTTGTTTGCTCTTGCATACCTGGACTAGAACATGTAGCTATTGTTGAATGTAAAGAAAAGTTAAAGGTAAATGCTTCACTAGATGTACGTGGTAGAATTACCTTAAATTTGAAAAAAGCTGAGGCTTGGAAACTTACAGAGCTTTGTTCTATACACCACTACTGGGTTATTGTTGAGGAGCGTAAAAATTTTTTTACACCCTTTCAAGAGAACAGCAACAATGATGCTTTATTTAATGTTCTTTTAAATCTCCCAGGTGAGTTAAATTGGGAAAATCCTCTAAGTATTTGGAAACAGTTCAAAAGCATTCTAAAGTGTACACAACCGGAAAAGGCAAAAGGTTATCAGATTATTGATCCTTTTAGTGCTGGTGACTCACTCTCATTTCGAGTTACTGCTTCAAGGACTGGCAAACATAGTTTTAGATCAATGGATTCTGCTGCTTCTTTTGGTGCTGGTCTTAACAATTATTTAAAATGGAAAGTAGATTTAAAAGATTTTGATATAGAAATTTTGTTACATATACTCGACAGTGATTTAAGCATTGGCATCCAATTAACTAAGGATAGTCAATCATTCAGAAATATTACACATTTTGGTCTAACAACTCTTTCTGCTGGTTTTTGCTATTGTCTGCTTCACTTAATTAATATTAAACCTGGTAAGTCATTTAAGTAGTACCTGAATGTGACTTTTTTCATTGACTTGACTTCTTTGTTAACTATTTTAGGAGATATTATCTGTGATCCTATGTGTGGAGGAGCATCTATTAGTATTGAAGCTTCATGTAGCATGCCATATGTTTTCAACTTAGCTGGAGATAATCATGAAATTGCAATTTGTCATTCTAGAGAAAATATATTTAATTTAGAAAATTTGAGGTATTTTTTTTTTTTTTAATTGTATTATACAAGTATAAAACACAGTGCTGCAAATAAGACACTTTATTGCTTCAAAGAAAATGCATCAGTGCCGCAAATAGGACATTTAATTTTGAAAATATTTTTTTTTAATTTTACCTAAACTATAATATTTTTATTATTGCTACAGATTTATTTGCTATATTTAATATATTTTTCTATGTTTTTTAATGTCATTTATAATTGATAACAAATAGAATATAAAAACTTTCAAATTTTAAAAATATGGTTTTAGGAATTTTTTTATCAATCTAAGAGTTTTACTTTTAATATTGTACAATAAATAGAACAGATTTTCAAAAAATGAATTTTATACTTTTTATAAATATAAGAAAACTGTCTCATTAATGATCTTCTCTGATGTAACATTTAATAAGAGAACATATTTTGACAGTTTGTGGATGACATTATGATAGACACTTTCAAAAATGATTGATTTGTTCTTTAACAAATAAGCAGTGATCAGATCATAGAATGTTGAATTAAGAGAAGCAAGTAAATTGCAGGCTGCCATTTTTGCAGTACAATAAGTTTCTAGTATTTGAAGTAAACCTCTGCTTAGGAAATCACTTCTACTAAGGACTACTTAGGACCACGGTCACTTCTACTAAGGACTACTTAGGACCACAGTCACTTCTTAAAGATTTGAGTTTTAAACAACAGATGCTGTTTTTTTAGCAAAAAGTTTTCAAAAGTATTCTAGAAGAGGTTAGAATTAAGAGAGTTAAACAAGAAGTTGTAGTCCTTCATAGTAATCTTGTCTTAAAAGGTTGATTTAGTCAGAAGCATTTGGTAATTTCACTAACTTCTGTTAGTAAAAAGACATTAGTTCTTAATTAAAATGTTCAATAAAAAAAAAAAGTAAATTATGAACAGACCAGAAAGAAAACCATTAACAAGAGAAAGGTAAAGAATTGATAATCTTGATATAGAGATAACATTTGTATGGTTACTTATTTTCTAGATTTCCAAATTGTTTTGAATACTAACAGTTTGAAAAATAGTTAATATTGAAACCAGTCACTTTTAAACTGTGATTTTACTAAAAACATCATCTAAACAAGAAATGAGTAAATCGAAAACAATAAAATAAATAAAGTGAATTTAAAGTAAAAACAAATTTATTCAAATTATCATAACAAATGTTTCTTTGGTATTACAAGGTGTTACATTTGTGTTACAGGGTGTTTCATTGCAGTCAATTTTATTAAAATGATTATGCTAATTATATTGTAACAATGTAAATGTTAGATAAAATTTTAAAAATCGAAAAATGTAGTTTAAGAAATACAACTCTGCCGGAGAAACGAGTTGAGCGCAGTACTACCAGGGACGTGGTGAGGATTGAACTCATAAACTCTCACTTATAAAGCGAGTGCTCTACCACTACACCACTACAGCATAATGCCATATAATTGGTATTATATATATACTATATTTTATATATATATATATATTATATATATATATATATATATATATATATATATATATATATATATATATATATATATACATACATACATATATATATATATATATATATATATATATATATATATATATATATATATATATATATATATATATATATATATATATATATATATAACAATTGAATGGCAAAATCTTTTTTAATTTGATTATATTGAGAAAAATGTTCATTCTTGTAGATTCATCAAAAAGAAGCCAAAACTGTTGTCCAAAAAAATAAAGATTATTCAATTCAGTGTTGTAAATGCTAGTTAAAAGTTCTTACAATTTTGGGATAGAAAGCACTTTTTTTCCATCATTCTTTTAGAACTTACTTTTTATCATTCTTTTGGTGAAGTCAAACAATATCTCATTAATTTAATGTATAATATATGTTCTTTTGTTAATATTAATATCAAAGATATTGGTTAATAAATGCCGAAGATTTTTGTCAATTAATGAAATCACTTCTTGCAATATCTGAATCTTTTTCTTGATACTAGTTCAACAAAAAATTTTAAGCCAGCAACATAAGCATTGATATTCACAAACAAAAAAATTACATTGAAAAAAGACTAAAAAATTTATCCATACTTCAGATCATAATTTGCTCATCAACAAACATGATAAATTTTTCAGAAAAAAGTTCCATTTTTGAAATATAGGTATTGAATACAAAACTTGCATCGTATATAGCGCCAGGTTTGTGAATTTTAAATATTCTGCTGCTAGTTGTCTTCTAAGGTATATAAAATGACCAGGGTCACTTCTTAAAGATTTAGGGCTAGTTCTTTTTTAGACTTTTGTGTTTCTTTTAATGAGATTTAAATTGCACTCTTGACCCACTTAAAAAAACTGCTACACATTCTTCATTATGAGCTGTAGTCAAACTAAAAAATCCTTGAATCTCAGTGCAATATTTCCATGTTGGGTTTGTTAGTCCTACAGCTTTAATTAATAGAGCTGTTTTCTTCCTTCATATTGTCTTCAACAATTTGACATGCATATTGTCTTTGAGAATATTTGATTTAATATCTACATTTAAGACTCACATAGACCAAAACCTCTTGTATTGACCTCTGCTTTTGCAAATGATAGTAAACTCAAACTGAAGTTGTTGGCAAACTAATAAACATGTGTTTGCAACAGGTGTAACTTTTTAAAACAAAGTTTTGGAAGAAATTTTGGAAGACTTACACTAATGTTTTTTGTCATATGATACTTTCTGCTGCTCTTCATAAAAGGCCCAATCTTGATTCCATTTTGGTCTGACCAACAGTTGTTTATATGCATTTTGCACTGAAATGTGATAAGTCAAAAAGTTGTTCAAGTTTGTTACAAAATTTAACAATTTATTATTTCTAACAATTTATTATTTCTAGCAATTTATTATTTCTAACAATTTATTTTTTCTAACAATTTATTATTTATAACAATTTATTGTTTACAACAATTTATTATTTATAATTTTAACATTTCAACATTATTGTTTAATTTTCTTTATTTTGATTTTTTCAACAGTTTTATAAGCAATAAAAAACACGAATTATCTCGTCAAATCGATACTCCAGCTTTTTTCAAAACTTCCTTAAGCTCGCCAATGATTTTTAATTGTCAATTATGCTCAAAAGCATAATTTACATATAATGCAACTACATTTTTTTAAACATTGAGATTTATAGTAAAAAATTTTCTAGTAAAAATATCTCAAACTTTTCAATACAGTTATCTCTAAACAATAACTTTTTTTCTGAAAATTTGAGCAAATGTTTCTATGATATTGAAAATGTTCCTCTGATGATGCAAATGTTCTTTTCATAATGCTTAATGTTTCTCTGATAATGCTCATGCACTTTGAGTTGTTATGTATATGTCTTGGCTATGTATCAGACTTATACATAGCCTAGAATATGCCTGTTTGTATAAATCTTCAATATTGTTAAAAGCAAAGAAAAAACAGAAAAAGGTTTTGTGTTTCAAAGGCTATTTTCAGGTTCAAGAGTTAGTTTTTAGGGTTGGTCACTTTGTTTACATAAATAGGCATTCAAAAATAAAGCCTAAAGCGTTTTTTAATTAATTTCAATTTAGTCATTTCAATATTCATCTAATGCAATTGAATTGGTTAAATAATACATTTACATTCACATGTTCTAAAGCCAGTAACACAAGTCAAAAATAATACATTTTGGTTTACAGTTATTTGCTATCAATTATTTGCCTACAAATAATCTTCTAAGATAAAAATTATTTATTTAAAAGTATTATGCTTTTTATAGAATTGTTGTTTTGCATTAAAATTTTATTTGGTTCTTTGTAAAGTTCTTTGGTATGTTATTTGTTTCTATGGTTATTTAATAGTTTCTATGGTTATAGTTGTAATCATTTAAATTTTAAGGTCTGTTTCGCTTCCAATATCACTGGTGCATTGGGATGTTTGTCGGCTTCCTCTACGTACTTCATCTGTCGATCATTTTGTTGTTGATCTTCCATTTGGTAAAAAAGTTGGGAGCAAAACAGAAAATTTTGTTTTATACCCAGCTGCTTTGAATGAGACTGCTAGAGTTTGCGTTCCTAATGGCACAGCTGTGTTCTTGACTTATCATAAACAAGCAATGTGGAAAACAATTCAAAATATTTCCTGGTGGACTTTTTCTAGGACACATCAAGTTAACATGGGTGGACTTAATGTTTATGTTTTTATTTTAAGAAGAACAAAGTGCATATACCATAATGAATAACTTTATTTTAAGAAGAACAAAGTGCATGTACCATAATGAATAATTTTTTAAAAAAGAAAAAAAAGTATTTCAATAAAATTTTTAACTTTTCATTTTTATTGTTTATTAATTTTTAGAATAATTATTTATAGTTTTATATTTATGTGCTGATAGTTTTTTTATTGTATATACTTTTTGTTTTTAGTATATATTTATTTTATACATAACTGTGGCTATTGTCATTAAAAATAATTTTTAACTCTGTTCCAGGTCCCTGACAATCTTATTTTTTGTTTTCATTTTCATTTGAAAAATACAAAAATGATATGAAAGAAGAAGACTTGTATGCTGATGAATATATTTCTGTTTTAATTGATTTTTTTTGTCCTCTTATCAATATATTTTAACTAACAGTTTTTGTTTTTATTTTTAATTGGTCTTATTTTTTAGTTGTCATTGTTTATTTCTTTATACTTTATTATAAGTTAGTTAATGATTAAAATTATACATAAAGTTAAAAAACTTAAAAAAAAGCTTAAGTTTAAATCTTTTTAAAAAGATATTTTTCAAATTTTTTTTTTATTTTAAATTATTAATGATTTTTTTGAATCAAGTTTTAAAGAATTTTGATTCAGAATTTTTGATTCATGGTTATGTATCATAGATTTTATGTTTCAGTTTTGATAAATATGACTAAAGTATTTTTCTAAGCAATGAAATGCTACTGTAAATCAGTTAAAGGACATCAAACAAATAAAAGTTCAGGTATTTTGTTATTTTTAGTTTTGATATTAACTTTATATTGGCTTATTTTAAGGGTAGTTTTTTAATGAAGTAAATAAATTTTTAAATAGCTTATTCCCATTTTATGTTTTTTTTTTCTTTGTAATTTTAAAAGTATGTTGCCTTTTTAGCATTCCGTGAGAATGGTGAAAGATATGGATCCCAGTCTTTTTTGCATTATCATATGATGGCACATTACAAGAGAATAGACAATGCTAAACGTTAGAATTATCACTATTATTTTTTTATTTTTTTATAATGCTTATTTTCTTTTTCAAAATAAAGAATATTTAAATATTTATGTTTGTTATTTAAATATATTTTTTTTAAATAATCATTTTTTAATACTAGCTTTGATTGATAATAAGCCACCAAAATCCTTAAAAGGTTTTGTAAACAGTAAGTTATTAATTTTGTTTTTTATATGATATGATATTGAGTATCTATATATTTATTAACTAGTTAACCATAAAAATTTAATTTATTTTTTTTAACGTGCTTATGTCAAAAAAATTTTTTTAAGGTTCTTATCAAAAAAAAAAGAAAAACAATTTTAAAAATTATTCTGTGAGTTATGGAGCCTTGCTGCCTGATTATAAGCTTTCTGGAAGTAACATGCGACCACAAACTGCTGACATCTATTTTGAACTAAATAATTCAGATGATATAGATTTGCCAAACAGACCAAAAACTGCTGATAGCTTATTGTATTCAAGAAATCCCCAGTCTTCTCCATTTGTTCATTACAGGTATAAAAAATATTCAAATGATTACAATAATCTGAACAGATATCCTCTCATCTCCCCACACAAAGTTTCTTCTGAAACTCAAAAATTTGAACCGAAGATATCAATATTGAACTCTGTATCTGACGATGATAAAATGATAGCTGAACTGAATTTAGATTCTATGAGTCTAAGTGATGAAAACAGCAAAAAAACTTATCGATGTGAAGATCGATTACCAATTGTTATGAGGAATGAAAAGCAGTTGCATGACGCCCAAGATGAAATTATGTATATATTATTTCATATTTGATTTTATATATTTTTTAAAAATAGAATAAGATTAAACTTTGTAAACCTTATCTTACTAATCTTACAACCTTTTAAGGTTGTAAATTTACAAATTTATATTAATGTTATTCCAACTATTTTAAACATAAACATTCTTTAAATTAATTCTTTAAATTGCTAGTTTAACTGATTGAATTGATAACAATATCAATGATAGCAGTACCACAAATGGGTATTATATACTGAAATAGCTTTAGAGTATATATTGACTAAGGGTTTGGGCAGGCATTATTTACATATTATAGAAATTTATTATAGGAAAATTTTTTATTTGTCTTTGTCCAAAAAAGTTGTATTAAAACCTAATTCCTTTGAATAGATCACTTTGGAATTGAATGTTTGGATTTTTTCCGATTTATAATATGTATCAATATTTTAAGAAAATCTGATATGGTACCATTTTATATTAAAACTTTAAGTTAGAAACATAAACAACTATGTTAATGATTTGCTCTACGTAATAATTGCATTTTTACTTTATTTTAGCACTGATGAACATGCCTACCTAACCTTTATAGAAGATATCACTAATGATATAATTGATAGAGGAATCTTCTCAGACATGTAGGTTCTTAATTTATTTCTTGTAAATATCAAATAACAGAAAAATGAAATACTTAAAAGCTCAAAAAAAAAGCATAAATATTAGGTTTTGATTCAAAAAAATAGTTTTATTGATTGTATTGATTTATTTCAGCATATTAACTTGTTACAAAAGAAAAATTTGCTGTAGTAATGGACTTTTTTGAAATTTTGCTTTTTAAATTAATTTTTTCATAATTGTGATCTATAGTTTAAATTTGTAGGTTATAAAGTTTGAAATTATTAAATTATTTGTCATTTATTAGTAATTTAATGCATAGAGTTTAACAGAAGTAGGATTCATGATCTTTAATGCATATAAAATAAGCAGAAAAAGTTTAACATTTAAAATGTTAAATTTTTCCTGGTTTTTAAAATAACTTAATATATATATATAATATATATATATATATATATATATATTTATATATATATATATATATATATATATATATATATATATATATATATATATATATATATATATATATATATATATATATATATATATATATATTAGACTGCTTCATTTTGAGGTCATGAAAAAATTTTAAGTACCATGGAGTCTTATCTGCTGTGTTGACCCTTATTTTATTAGTAGAATTTTTTTTTTTTTTAAATTTTGACCACTTTTAGGGGTTGCTCAAGTGCCTCAAAAGTCATATTTTAGGCTTTTTTACCCTTTTTTAAGCCCATTTTTCGCACGTTTGAGCAAGTACTAAAACTCAAAAAAATTGAATTTTTTTTTTCTAGAGTTTTTTCTAAGTTAGAATAAAAAAATTAAAATGCATGGTAATTTTATTTTATTGAAATAATTTGTGTAAATTTATCTACAAAAACGCAAAGTTATGCAATTGTTGCGCTTCACGTTAATTTAAAAATGTTGCTATTTGCTTAAACATGTTATGCAAATTACTTTTTACAAAAACGATATTTAATTTTGATTTATTAACATAACTAATGCCTGCTGTTAAATAAGTTAATAAACAGAAATAGGTGTGTTGTAAAATATTCCGAACCTATAAATCACATTTTTTAGTATAAAGATAGAGAAGCTGATCCGAACCTGGAAACTGTTAAAAAAAACAAAGCAAGACAAACTTTATCAGAGATTGAAAAAAGGAGGAGCTTTTTAACTCAGATGAAAAGTATCTTTTGGATTGCACCTGAGCTTGATACTCTGGTTGCAATCATTAAAGCTGATAGGAAACAAAAGGATCAAGACAAGACTGAAGATATTGCATTTTTATTAGACCAATTAGGAGATAGAAAAACTAGAATAGGTGGGATCGATACAAGGTACCTTTACTCTGTAAACAGGAGTTTATCCAAAATTAAAAGGAAATCAAATTTGCATGAAACCATGTCAGAGAGTGAATTCAGCTCAAATGGATCGGAGAAAGATGAAGGTAATGATGATTTTTCATACCCAGATCCAGAGTTAAAGAAAAAAGTCAAAAAAACTAATACTGTTATGCTTCCAAAAGATATTCTCAAGAGAACTGCTGATACTGCTGTTGGGGAAGGAATAAGTCATAAGCAGCATGCTTCCATGATTAATAGTATAATCGCTAAATTGGGTGGAAATGTAGCTGAATTTAAATCTTCGACCTCTACAGCGTTACGCGCTGCAGATAAGGTCATTCATGATGAATCAAAGAGGATCAAGGATGATTTAAGAAGTTTAAGAAAAATCAATAAGAACATTTTAGTTCAACTCCATTTTGATGGAAAAGTATGTCATGAATATACTGATGGGAAAAAATTGGAACAAGATCGATTAGCAATATTAATAAACGCTAACAAGGAAACGCACCTGTTAGGAATTCCACCCATTTCTTCTGGAACTGGTGAAAATCAAAAAAATGCAATCAGAGATATCTTAAATAGCTTTAACCTTACAGACAATATACAAGCTGTAACATTTGATACCAACAGAATCAACGCTGGAAAAAAAAATGGAGCTGTATCTTTACTGGTAAATGAAGTCTTTCAACGATCAGTTCTATCTATTGCATGCCGACATCATGTCAATGAGCTACACATAACACATTTTTGGAAAAATTATCAAAGTAGCATTACTTCTGGACCAGATAATCTGCTGTTTAAAACTTTAAAATCAGCATGGAATGATCTTGACGCAGACAACCAGGTAGGTTTTTACAAAATTAGCTACCATTTTGTGAAACATTATTTTTTCCAAATAATTTTCTTTTTCCAATTTTGAGTTCTTTGAATTTTTTTTTTACGTTTTGAATAAATAAGGTTTTGAGAAGATTGACTATTCCAGAGGAAACATGGCTTGGTCATCAAAAGCATGAAAGCATAACGTTCTGCAGAAATATTATCACCAGTGGGTCTCTAAAAAAGGTAGCCAATAACTAGATATAATTTGTAGGTATCTATGTAGTATGTACTTTTATGTTGAAATTTTTTTATAAATTTTTCTTTTTTAATTCTATTATTCTTTATTATACTAAAATATAAATAGGTTTATTTTATTATACCTAAATACTTATTATTTTATTTCATTTTTAGGATGGGGCTACAAGGAAGGACTACATTGAGCTGGCAGAGCTTACACTTATGGTGCTTTCTGAGGACAGGTACAAATTTCGTACTCCTGGAGCAGTCCACCATGCCCGCTTTATGGCAAAAGGTAAGGAATTGTAGGTTCATGATAAAAAAAGGTTCAAGTTGCAAAAAAAAGGAATTTGTTTAACATTATCAAATATTAGTCTTTTTAAAAAATTAAAAAAAAAAAATTTTTTTTTATAGGTATCTACTACCTAAAACTCCAACTTATGATGGATGCTATACCTAGTCTGGAAAAATGGCTGAAGCATGAAATTACTGAAGTGGCAACTTTTGTCTCTGTTTTCTATACTACCTGGTTTCTCAAAGCTGAACTATCCGCTGCTGCTCCGAATCAGGTAGGTACCAACTTAAAAAGTATGAAATATATATATATATATATATATATATATATATATATATATATATATATATATATATATATATATATATATATATATATATATATATATATATATATATAAAATAAATAAAAGGGTTCTAGTTTGAATAAAAAGTTTTGATAATTGTTAAAAGTATCTAAGAAATAATTTTTTTTTAAAGAAAGATTAACAGTTTTTTTATGAGAGCGCTGAGAGAAGGTGATATTGCTCAAAAACTATACAGCTATGAATTTCATAGTATGGATGAATATCCGTTAGCCCGAATAAGTGCTAACATAGAGGTCCTCAATTCTTTAGACTTCAGTGGACCGAAGCCTCCCAGCTTAGTTCATTTGGTCACAGAAAATTGGTGGCTATTGTTCCTTATGATAGGCCAAAGTAAAAGTGACTGTCAATGGATGAAAACCACTCCAGAATATTGGACTTGCAACGATTTCTACTTAAAATTTCAGGAGGCAGTTTTAATCTTTCAGTTGTTAATAGTTGCTCGGAAAGAATCGTTAAACTCATAAAAGACAAAATTAATATTGCCCGAAAAGAAGAGAAAAGACAGGATTTACTTTTATTTTTGCATAATTACAAAAGGAAGTATGGAGGAAAAACTAAGAAGTCCAAGAAAAACATAAAAAAAACAATATAAAAATATAACATAACATTTTTAAAAAATAATTATAAATTTTATAGAAATTTAATTATAAAGAAATTTGTTAAACAAAATTGCTAGACGTTTTATTCAATATAATTAGATTTTTTTTCGTTTCATGTAATTTAATGAAGTTTCATGCAATATAATAAAGTTTTTATAGAC